CCAAAACTTCCATTTCTCGGCTCATCAATGGGCCTTATGAAAGCTTGTTACCATCCATACCACAACCCACTCAGCAAGCCCCGAGCATTTGCGTGGCTTGAGCCCATTTAAGCTTGTAGCGTGGCTATGTGTGAAATAATGATTTCCTTCTTGGCATGGCATGTTGTTTGGCGTGCTTGAATTTTGTCGTCTTTGAAAGGAGACATAATGCTTGACAAAATAATTAGCATGAGCTTGTAGAGCCAATCCCTTTTATAGGCTCATTTTAATTCTTAGCGTGATAAATTGCATATTTATTTGGCATGGCACGTGATCGTGGCTCATGCAAGCGTGCATGAAGAATTTCACATGCTCCGCATCGGGTTTCTTCTTAATAAGGTGTCGTACTGGGCCGGGAATTTTTTGGGCCCAACCCTTGATTTTTTGGACCTCAACAGCAACAAGAAAGGGATAAACAAACTTAAATTCTTTATCAAATCTCAAATTCTAGTACAATAACACAAATTTGCTTACACATAAGCAAAAAAATTCTTCAAATATGTGAATCTTCACTGAAAATTTGTAAATTCTATAATAATTTCCCAAAAAACAAAGCATGAAATTCAAAATTAAAAGAAATCATTAATCGCCATACCTGTTAAACAATTCGAACTTCAGCTATCATTGAATCATTGAGAAAGAATTGATAAAGCGAAAAAAGTGTTTGTCGTCAGGAAGTTTCTTTTCTAGAGTAAAAAATGTGAAATTAGGCTCAATATGTTTTATTTCTTACATTTATTCGAGTTTGGCTCTTCTTAATTTTGAATTAAATAATTAGCCTAACATAATTTATATATATAAATTTGTTTTATATATAGGCATACTAGGTATATATAGGGATTTATATAAATTGGAGACCTAGGTGGCCGTCCGCAAGGCCTCATCTCCCGTCAATGTGCGTCAGAGTTCCCAACATCGGCAACTCCCCTTCACCAGCCTCTCCCTTTCACCGATTCCTCTCTCTTAATTAACAAGGAAATGACAAGGAACTTATAGCTCAAGTGGTAAAAAAGTATTTACCTCTGCGCCTGAGGTTTTGTGTTCGAATCTCCTCTTTCTCAACATCGCTTGCATCCAAACAATAATAATAATAATAACTAGAAAATGGCATATTTGCAACAATTGTTGTTGACAATTGCTAAATGAGTATGCCTATGTCCTGAGGACCATTGTTGATAACTTTGCTAAATGAGCATGCCTAAAGAATTCTATGTTTTTCTTTCTTCTTTTTTATGAAAGAATTATGTGAAAACTTTGTAAAACTTCGGAGGCTACGTGAAAATATGAATAATCCCAAGAGAAGAGATGTACATTTAATTTAATAATTGATGTTAAATTTGTTTAACGAAGCATAAGTTCAAGAAAAGTTAAGAAGGTAGACTCCTCAGTTAGTCCAATAATTGAACCCGTATATGTAGAGACTGCTCCCCTAATTCCCTGGACTATATACCCCACGCTATTTTTGTACTTGTTTCAATCCACGTCTTTCTCTAAAAATAATAATAATAATCAGTAATCAGGGAGAAAAAAGAAAACGGAGAAAGAAAGAAAATATCTTGCAATTACCGAATAAAAACTATATTATTTTTCCAAAACATATCTTTGCATATTGACAAATCCAAACTATATATACATTCCTCTTTTTCTGGAAGAGTGAAGAAGACTTGTTATTACAGACGCTCAGTTATCGTTCGCTGCGTATGACCGTCGCTTTGGTGGCAAGCTCGACAAAGTCTGCTATCTTTTGGTGTTTGGTTTCTGAGGTAAGATGGGAAAACAGAAGAAATATATGGAATTCAACAATCCAAGTTCTTGTTTTTTGCCAAGAAGTTTACTTTCTTTTTCCTCATCAGTCATTCTATATATTTTTGCTAAGAAGCCTTCATGAACTGTAGGTATTGTCAAAATTTTATATTTTCTGCGTTTGATTATGCACAAGTTTGTACAATATTTTGTAGAACATATATATTTGTAGAAATTTTTAGGTGAAGCAGATTGATTTAGAATTATTGAGCACGTTCATTTCAGTGGTTCATGAGTGAGTTTCAGCTGATGTATTGATGTAGGTGCCTAAGTCAAGACAAGAAAAGGAATTGAATATCAAGTAGTTAGTGGTGATTTCATCGTCAGATCAGAGGTATTAAATAAAAGGTTTTTGGAGTAATTAATCGTCTGCAACGTGCCTAATGGCTACTTTGGAAGCTGTTCGACAAGTTCTATCTGGGGCATTACCTCGCCTTGGCTGTTTTGATCTATCTTTCAGCAAGGTAAATGGATTAATCTCAGTTCAGTCCGGTGTAAATAATACACGGAAAAGTTCAGTGTGTGCCCAAGTGCATAAACATTCGAGAATTTCACAGGACCGCAGGAGAAAATGTGCGTTCCAGGCTAGAAACGGTGTTTTTCATGGAAAAAATGATGTTAGTAGGTTGAATTCTATGAGTTGCAAATGTCAAAAGGCAGAAAGTCTTACTGGGGCAACTGCAGAAGATCAGCATAGGGACTTGCTAGTAGACAACTCAGATAAAGCAACATCGATTCCTCCTAATGGTATAACTAGTCCAGGTATTAATGAATTTGAGGTGGATCAACAACTGAAACATGAAAAGGGAGGTTTTGGATCAAATGGTAAGCCGGCTACAGCTGGAAAACATAAAGATTTTACACAGAAGGTTAGGACCAATTCAATTGAGGACGAAGCATGGAAATTACTGAAGAACTCCATGGTCTATTATTGTAATAATCCTATTGGAACCATTGCTGCTAATAATCCAAGCTCTACTAGTACTCTGAACTATGATCAGGTCTTTATTCGTGACTTCATACCTTCTGGGATAGCTTTCCTTTTAAAAGGGGAGTATGATATTGTGCGGAACTTCATTCTTCATACCCTTCAGCTGCAGGTAAAGTATTCTCTTCCTTGAGTATCAAATCCATCATTACTAACTGTTGCTTACTTTTGACTTAAGTTCATCTGATTTTCGTGTTTAATTATTTGATTTCATGCGGTTGGTGGTTTTGTTCCATTTTCTCACAAATTTTCTTAGAATTTTGTTATAGTAAGGTTTCCAACCACAATGTTTGATTTAACCAATACAGAGTTTCATGTTACTTACCTATGTTTGATCTGAAAGTTCTTTTATTACTACACATTTCAATAAGTTGATTCATCTATGCATGTGTGGTTGTGTAATATTTAAGATTAGTTTCCAATGTGGATGTTATGACTTAGGGACTAAATGGAGTTTTTCATAATCACTTGATACTTCAAACATTTGATATGGTCATTGTTGGAGTTTTTCATAATCACTTTATATGGTCTAAATGGACCCAAAACACAACCAATACGAGACTCAGCACGCACTTGCACGCATAGAGTTGGCTGTCATAATATCACTAACATCCTTGTCATGGCCTACAATCGAAACCTGACATCCTTATCAGAGCCCAATTTTGTTATGTTGCAATGTCTTCGACCATAGAGTAGTAAGACTCACCATATCTACAAGAGATCCCAAAAAACTAGTCACCTATGTAGCTCTCTATAATCGCTTTACATGGTTCCAAATTCCAATTCACCCAAATAGACAACCAATGTGGGACTCAGTCCACTACAATATAGGACTCAGCACACTAGCACAACCCACACACAAATAGAATTGGCTATCACAATGGAGGTTTATTCTTTTCTGAAAACTGGCATAGCTGATGAAGTCTTCCTCTCTTCCTTATTTCCTGTAAATAAACTAATATAGGCATTAATATTGCTTGCTTAACCGAGTTTTTGTATCCACTTTAAATTTCTCATTATGTTTCCCATAACAATGAGCTTATTTAAAGTCTGCACACCAGATGTTTTGTCCACATATGAATGCTTTGACTTCTAACATATTGTTACGATATCTGGAAAAAAAAAACACATACTAATAACATTTCATGCTTAAAGAGGGCCCGTTATATGCAATCTCCCTTCAAAACTTGAATTCTGTTACACATGTTGGCTTTCATTGTACTTAGTTTAATTTGTTTCTGTCATTCTAGTGAATTGCACTCCCCTTTAGCTTAATTTGTTTTTGACAATTTCCATTCTAGTAAATCACGCTACTTTTTAAGTTTAATTTGTTTCTGTTCTTCTAGTGAATCTCCCTCCTTTTTATTACAGAGCTGGGAGAAAACCATGGATTGTTATAGTCCTGGTCAAGGACTAATGCCTGCCAGTTTTAAGGTTCGCACTGTTCCACTCGATGGTGATGATTTTGCAACTGAAGATGTTTTGGATCCTGACTTCGGTGAAGCTGCTATTGGTCGTGTTGCCCCTGTTGACTCTGGTAGGAAGTTCATTGTATTTTATAAATTCTCTTTCAAAATATATCTCCGGTTATAGAGGTATAAACATTTTAATATTTCATAATTAAAGTCTCTCACAATGGTCAATGATTCGACGGATTTTGATCTTTCTGTCAGGGTTATGGTGGATTATATTGTTACGGGCATATGGAAAATGCTCTGGAGATCTTTCAGTCCAGGAACGAGTTGATGTGCAAACAGGGATAAAAATGATTTTGAAGCTGTGTCTTGCTGATGGTTTTGATATGTTTCCAACATTACTGGTCACAGATGGTTCATGCATGATTGATCGCCGCATGGGAATTCATGGCCATCCTTTGGAGATTCAGGTAAGTATTTCTTTTTATGTTCATAAGTGCCTTTCAAATAAATTTTTTATCTTCTTGTGTACATGGAGTTTTATTTTAAAACTCCTCCTTTTTTGCTTATTTCTTGTCAATACTGTTAGAGTAATTCCTATTTGTTTTACATCCCTACTACAACTTTGCTATTCATTGGGGTAACAGGGTGCTTCCCTATCTTCTCTCTATTTTGTTTCTCCATTTGTAAAAAAGTTAGCATGTTTTGCTTTGGGCTGGTCGCATCCGCATGCCTTTCTGCTTTTGGCCCCTAACATTAAGGATATTCCGGAATTACCAGAGACGCTTAAATTTTCATTTCATGTAAACTAATAAATTTATTTTACTGGTCTAATCATAAGGAGAATTATTTCAAAAGTCACAGGAAATTACTTTCAAGTTTCCCCATAAGCGTTGTCTGTTACAACCTCGGGATGCAATAATCAAATAAATGGATGTAGTTCTGGCCAAAAAATAAGTATAATTAAGTAAATAAGTGGATGTAGTTATATGATAATCATAATGGTATGCAACAATGGATTTCAAACAATTTGGAAAAGCAATAGTTTCGGGTATACTTATTGCTGCATAAGATGATAATGGAGATCGTTGCATTACCATTGTAATTGCCAGAGTAGGTTTCAAAACATCATTTATTGATTTCAAAACCTAAATCTGAGGAGAGAGAAAGGACTCCTAGTAGCTCCTTATAATTTAATGTTGCTTTGTTTTCTGCATATTTTAAACTTTTAATTAATGCAAACTATTTTTTTTAATATTATTTTGTATAGAGATGGACTAATTATATTGAATTTTTTTATAGAGAGCTCCTAAAATAGCTTGTGTGTTTTTAGCTAAATTTTAACTAAAAAATAGGGAGCATGATTGTTGATGCTTTTGGGGTTTAGACAGAGAGGAAGATTTTATTTGGGTATAGAATATGATGCTTCTGACCCATGTTTGTTGACATGCATCTTTAAGTTTACAAACTTTGTGGCTGCATTTATATGATGTCACATGTCACTGTTGCGTGTCCTTGTAGGCACTGTTCTACTCAGCACTACTTTGTGCACGTGAGATGCTTGCTCCAGAGGATGCATCAGCTGACCTTACGCGAGCACTAAACAATCGTCTGGTTGCATTATCATTCCATATCAGAGAATATTACTGGATTGATATGAGAAAACTCAATGAAATTTACCGATACAAGACAGAGGAATACTCATATGATGCTGTTAATAAGTTCAATATCTACCCTGATCAGATTCCATCCTGGCTGGTGGGATTTATGCCGAGTACAGGTGGGTACTTGATTGGCAACCTGCAGCCTGCTCACATGGACTTTCGTTTCTTTTCTCTTGGAAACTTATGGTCTATTGTAAGTAGTCTTGCAACATTGGATCAGTCTCATGCTATATTGGATCTTATTGAAGCAAAATGGGATGAATTAGTGGCAGATATGCCGTTTAAAATATGTTATCCTGCTCTTGAAGGCCAGGAATGGCAAATCATCACAGGCAGCGATCCCAAAAACACGTAATGCCTCTACCTTGACTTTTGAAATTTCCTCTATCCTGGTTCCTAACACCTCCTTTACTTGATTTTATGTTGTAGTCCCTGGTCTTACCATAATGGAGGTTCTTGGCCAACATTGCTTTGGCAGGTAAGTTTTTTATTTGGGTTTGAGTGAAAACTGTTTTTCCCCTGTTGCCCTTGATCTTGCTTTGCACTGCTGGATTTATAACTCCCGATTACGCCTGCTCTATGCCAGTTTTTTTTTTTTTTGGGGGGGGTCAAAACTCTGTACCAGTTTAGTATTGCATATAGTATCTGTATTACCTCATACAGCTTTTGTTTTCGACTCACATCATGCCATCATGTAAGAGCATTTCCAATCATACTCCCTAGGACTAGAAACTTATTTTAGGAACCCTTTATAAAATTTCTACTGCAATCATGTTCCTTAATTTAGGGAGTTATAATGACTCGGAATCGCTAGAAATAAAGTGTTTATTTAAAATAATATTAAAATAATCATCATTATGATGAGGATCCATTGGAAGACCATTTCTCTCTCCTTTGATTTAGGAGCTCCTACAAGTCTTGTTATTTCATGAGCTGGATAGGGAGTATAATTGGATTTGAGTTTTTTTAACTTCTCTCCAAATTTTAACTTAGGAGCTCATTTAGAGAACCCATTGGAGATATCTTATTTGTTGTACTTGCACTCTCCAAGATATGATGTCCTAGAAGCAAACCAGGTCCTCAATGCTACCATTTGGCTAGTGCGCCAACTTACAAGGAGGAATCACTTATTAGGGGAAAATACAAAAAACAAAAATTGGAGCCACTATATTTTTCTTTCTAAAATATGAAATTGTTCAGATTCACCATGAAACACATGGAATGTATACTGTGTAGCCCAATTTGTTAAATCTTATTACGCTTTGCAGAATCCCCATTTGTGTTGACCATAAAGCCAGATAACCGTAAAGAATCCTTGCTTTTGTTGAAGGGAATGCAAAAGTTCCCTGTTAATTTCCACTAGCATCTATATGTGATTGATTATTTATGTTGTTAACATCACTATGGGACTTGTTTCAGCTCACTGTGGCATGCATAAAGCTTAACAGACCAGAAATTGCAGCAAAGGCGGTCGGGCTTGCTGAGAAGCGCATATCTCTTGACAATTGGCCTGAATATTATGACACTAAGAGAGCAAGATTTATTGGAAAACAGGCACAGCTGTTTCAAACTTGGTCAGCTGCCGGATACCTTGTGGCAAAGCTCCTCCTCGCCAACCCAAGTGCAGCAAAGAACCTTGTGAATGAAGAGGATTCAGAGCTTATAAATGCATTTTCATGCATGATAAGTTCCAGTCCAAGAAGAAAACGTGGTTGGAAAAAGCAGATTTTAGTTTGAAGCAGAGAGGGATCTGGTGGAGAATTCAAGTCGCAAACATTTCTGAAGTGAACCCTGCAGCCGCAAATGAAGTGAAGCGTGGGACAGAGGTTTAGGATTAGTTCAACTGCAACCAAGGATGAAAATATCAGCCGATATCCCGATATGTCCCTTCTTTTAAGGTGTCGATACAGATACAAGGGGGTAAGCCTATTTCTTGCCCCTTATCGGCGATATATCCCCGATATCTTCGATATTTACCGATGTTTACCGATATTTCCTGATACCAGACAAATAACCCAAAAATTGATCTTCAATTTTGGAAGTAATCATGGGTCCCACCCACTGAATCAATGTAAAAAACCAAGCTCTAATACTTAGTAGCTTCTCCCTTCTTCTCGTCTCAGTCATTTCGGCTATCTTTGGCTCTTTCGCTCTCTCTGGTTGATCGGTTTCTTGTGTGTTTGATTTTATTTTTCACCTAATCTTCTATCTCTCATTTCCTTTATCATTAAGTCTGATTCTTGTAATATAATGTTGGGTTATGTATTAATGGGATGGGATGGGTTGGGTTGGGTTGGGTTATGTTTGAATAATGTTATCTTTGTTGTGTTAAGTCTAATTGTATTTATTTTCAGGATTTTCGTTGTGCATTATATGTACACGTACATTTCATTATATGCATATCTTATACTTAGTATATTTTGAATTTTATTAGTTCAATACATTCATCGATAATGTGCTTAATGTCTATGAAAGTATCACTTCAAAATTCCGTATTTTTAAGCCATTATGTCTTTTTTGTCAATTTTCCCCGATAACTAAAACGACATTGATATATCCCCTGAAATATCGGTAAATTGAAGGCCCAATAATATTTGTATCGCCGATATTTTCATCCTCAACTGCAACAGACGAAGCTCATATCAGTATCATTGTACAGTTGCTTTAATATACACGGCCATTTTTGTGAACACAATTATAGTTTTCTTAATGTGAAGAGTTGTAACAATGATGATCTTGTGGCCAAGTGATATCCAATATTCCCTTGAATTCATTTTGTTTAGTGTGCTTTCTGATGGATCCAAAGATTGGTTAGATGAAAACCTTGAAAGAAACAGTGGGTTTTTTTTTGTTTTTTTGGTGGCTAATGGAAACAGTGGTTTGACTACAGTAAATATACAGAGTTAAAGGAAGTTAAAGGCTAGAGGGATGAGCAAGAAACCAAGAGAGGAAACATTGAGTAAAAGGTTCCTGTTGACAAACCAATGCCTACCAGATAGCAAAGAAAGCAAACTTAAGCCATCATAGCATGAAGAACGTGGTAAGCAACTAAACCCTAAACTTAGAAACAAACTGACGAAAAGGAAAATGCTTAATATCCCGGTTTTTCTTTCCCAACTTAGATGGTAATACAATGTAAGCATGCCACTTAGGAACAAATCTTACTTACACAATGCTAGAGTACAAGCACTAATGGGAGAACAGAAGTGCTAACATTTTGGAACAACGAGAGACAATTGTTCCAATTTATTGCTCCAACATGAGATAACAAGAATGGAAGCAAAAGACTTGCATAGGAAGTATAACACGCCCTAAGAAAGGTTGGATAGAAGATATAGCTGATGCATCTGATTCAGTTTAAAGTTAAACAATAAATGTAAAAAGGATAACAAAAAACATAGTCTAATAATTAGCACCACAAGAAAAACAAGAAGAGCGAGAGAGGGTCAGAGAGATAAACTAGTAATAGAGTAACTTTTCATTTCTTTTTTTGTCGGGTTAAACTACTTGACTCAAAAATTGACAGCGATATCCCGGTTCCATGATTAAATCAAGTAATACACCAATTTTTACAATGACCCAGCGAAGGTAGCAATAAATCCAATTTGAAGCTACCGTTCACTTACAAATGGCAATATGGATCTTATGAAACGGCTTCAGATCACGAGCAAAAAGCTGCTTTACGCAACAAGCATTATGCAAAATGGCAATTTTGCCGATCAATCCAAACCCCAACAATGGATCAACTGGCTTTCAACATTGAGTTCAGGAATCCAAAATGTGTTTGTTCTCAGCCAAGATGCTGTCCAACAATGATTCACATGCATCTTCAAGTAAATCCAAAACCTGCAACATGATGATGTTTCATAATTAGTATCAACTCTAAAAGTACCTGAACAATTAGCATGCGATACCAGTTACGCAGCCGAATTCTCCCCTTCCTCCTCGTTTGCTCTCAGTTTCTCCATGTATCTTCTATTCAAAGTAAAATAAGCAGAATCCAATGGTTGATTGTTCTTTATTGAGTTCTTGGCTGTGACCTGAACTGCTTCGGATTAGGGTTTTACTTTCTTTCTACTTTTCCCTATGGCTTTCTGGGAGTTCTCCAATTCTCCCCTTTAAGCAATATTATGAAAAAATGAGCCACTGGATTCTAAGTTGAATAAAGTTAAACTGAGATTTGAATTTTGAAGAAAGGAGAGAAAACGGGTGGGAGAAAATGGAGAGGATCATCTTCCTACTGTTTAATTGACATAAATCCGAAAATTTGGGGTGTCTTGCTGAATAACCAAAAAGCCACCCGCTCTATCTCAATTATGTTCTAGTAAATTTAATTTGTACAACATGCTTAACAAAGTTTGACAGAAAAATTTTAGCAATAGGGTTGCCTCTTTAGACAAAGTAATTCTTGATAATTTCACTAAATTCCTCACAGGCATTTCACAACAGATAAAACCATTATGATAATTGCTGCCACTTTAGATGTATGCTCTTTCATTTCCATTGCATCAAACATATATCCATGATAAGATCAAGAACAATGGTTAACAGGTATTGATATATTACCTTCTCAAAACCTTGCGGTCCACCATAATAAGGGTCCGGTACTTCAGTTTCATCGTGTTTCTTACAATAAGAACACATTAACTTAACCTGCACGATCAATAACAACATAAGACAAAATAATCAAATTCATATCAATCCACATTGTAGCATCCCCGTTCTAAGTACTAAATACAAAGTACAAACCTTTTTATGAGCATCCTCGGGTAGAGGTTCTCTAAATTTCCACCTATTAAACGCCTCTATTATATCATCTATAGCCAATATCAACACCACAAGTTAATAAAACACATCACACATATATAAAGTTATAAACATGTAGGACTATTGGCGTATAAAAACATATAAAGGGCTGATCCAAATTTCCAAGAAAAACAAAATACATAGATGGTTTCTTATATTCCATGTATAATGAACCCACCTCGGTTCTGATTGTCCATTGCAAGGATAAGATCAAAATCTCTAAAATCAGGCAGCCGGATTGGCCTAGATAAAGAAGTTATCTCAATGCCACGCCTTTTAGAGGCTGCCCTCATTCTTGGGTCTGCTTGATTTCCCTTTTAACACCAATAAATACAATCAGAAATTTGGAATTATAATTCACACAAAAAATGAAATGAAATATTTGCAGCCAGGCTTTGTTTGTGACGTCCATTTTCTTTACTTTCCTATGTTTTTTTTCAGCAACTAAAACAGCGGTTACGGTTGAAAATAGCTCCTACCTCATGGTAATCAATGGTTCCAGCAGAGTCAATCTTGAACTTGGAATCCAAACCCCTTTTCTTCACCAAGTCCCTGAAGACCCCTTCAGCAGCTGGGCTTCTGCAGATGTTGCCCAGGCACACAAAGAGAACAGAGAAGGGCTTGGTCTCTGCCTCCGTGGATGGAGAAGAAGCCGCCATTGATGCTTTTTTCACAGACCCAGATGAGAAAGAGGTGCTATATTTGAGGGAATGTGAACGAAAGGATGATTTTTGAAGGGATGGAAATTGGGGAAGAAGAAGAAATGGGGTTTTTAGAGAGGGGTGGTTGGAGGAGTGGTAAAATCGTAAATTTGAAGGGGTTGCTACTCTACTGTGCAATACCCTCATTCTCCTAGGACTGAGAAAATACCATGTGGAAATGTGTTGAGTTTCAGCTTGGGTATCATAGAATATAGAAACGCTTAGCGTAAAATAGAAGAGAAAAAGAAAAAGAAAAATATAGACCATACAAACATTTTGAAGAACCTTATGGATGTATTGAATTGTGCACATGCACATTACAAAACAAATGTAACTGGTAAAGAAGAAAAGGATTGAAAATCTTCGGAGCCATGAGAAAGTGGGTCTCTTGAGCCGTTTGGCTAAAAAAAACTATTAAAGGTACGTGTTATAATATGAATGGATTGAATACACCACATCAACATGTTATTGGTGTATCGAACACACAATAAATTCTCGCTTATAGGACAAGATGAAGCTGCAAACATGAGCACACCCCGAGTGATAGGATAAAAAGAAAAAAGGAAAATGCTAATCCGATTTCCATTTCTCTCAGCTACTGTATCAGTATCCATATATCATACTCTACAACTAGCCACCAGTATTTTTGAGTTACATTTAATTTACACTATAAGCTATATTATCAGTTAAAAAAAGAACCGATGAGAAATTTCGGAAAAAGAAGATCAACTTTCTTCCCCATATGAAAGTTGAACTAAAACAGCTCAAAGTCTATATGCTCTCCTATACCCTCCAACTCCTTGCCCTCCTGTTTCTGTGAAGCAGAGGGTGCACCAACTCCAACATCACACCACCTGGGAAGCTCGGGCGGTACTGCACACCGAATCAATGCCCAGTTAAGGCCTTCAAAGAAAGGATGCTGCTTAATCTCTGCAGCCCCTTTCACTGATCCTAAACGATTTTCAGGGTCCTTTATTAACAGGCCTCTGATCAGATCTCTTGCATGAAAACTCACTATAGGGGTATTTGGGAACTTGAGACTTTTTGACACAACGTTGGCCAATGTGTCCTCATTTCCTGACCCCTTGAAGGGTGTCCTACCATATAACAGCTCGAACAAGAAGATTCCAAATGTCCACCAATCAACAGCACTCCCATGACCTTCTCCTTTGATGATCTCCGGAGCAAGGTATTCATGGGTTCCGACAAAGGAGTTGGATCGGGCACTAGTTGGCTCCACTACAAGCTGTGGCAGTGGGCTGACCTGGGCAGCAAGCTCGGATTTTATTTTCCGAGATTTTGCAGCAGCAGATAGAAGTCTGGGAGTGAAGCATGAGACTTGCCAGGATGGTTGGAGGCAAAAAGGATCAATGCAGCTAGATTCAATGCACGGGCTTGACATCTTTTTTGTGCTCTCCAAAACAGGAGATGATGATTTAAGCAGCGTTGGATTGACAGCACATCTAAGTGACAAGTCAAAATCTGTGAGCATGATGTGGCCATCTTCTCGGACCAGGATATTTTCTGGTTTCAAGTCTCGATACACAACTCCTAGCATGTGTAGATACTCCAAGGCAAGGAGGACTTCAGCGACATAAAACCTATAGATACAGGATAAAATGGCTGGAATTAGTTTAATGAACATTTAAAGTACTGGAGTACAATTATGTTGATGACAATCAATCATGTACTTAATAATAACCAAGAAAACAATGTCAAACAGCTACAAAGTCGGAAAATAAAAATATCAAACAAACAGTGGTAGGACATTTCTTAGCTCTACCAAGTCAGCTCAAGCTACTAAAAAAAACCCCTGTGTTTGAGGCTAGTCATAGGATACAATCTTCCTACAGTAATCACCAGATTCTCCATGAGTTTGCTAAGGTATGTCAAACTAAGACAAATGATAACTCCGACACTGCAAATCTAAAAGTCTGGGATTTAAATTAGATCCCAAGATTAAATCCCAGGGAATTAAAATAATCTATTTGACATACCAAACATGTGTGCACATGGCCAGAGTGTGCCATCGAGCACGAATAACATCTGCCTTATATATTTTAATCTATTCTGACTGGTCAATATGGAAACTCAATGAGAAAAAGGAAGATAACATAGACCAAGTACTAGGATCAAACAACTATCAAATGAATTTTCGCAGATATGGAAGAGCAAGGAAGAAAACAAAGATTTAACCTACTAAATACTAATGTCAAATGTATGCATCTTATCATAGTCAAATTTTTCATTATTTTGCAAACCTTGAAAAAATTTAAAAAGAAAAAAGCATAGGCACAATTAACTAAAACTGGACCTTAAGAAGAAAATGCACCTGGCTGCTTGTTCACAGAAACTCCTGCCGGGTTGCTTTTGCCGCAGGACATGCAAATCTCCACCCGGACAGTACTCCATAACCAAACATGAGAGCTTCTCTGACACACAATGGGCATATAACGTAGGGAGAAACGGATGATCCAGTATTTCTAGTATCTCTCTTTCTGTTTGAGCCCTAATCATTTTCTTCCTGGTAACCAAAAACTCGTTGTCCATCACTTTCAAAGCAAATACGCAATTTGTTCCAGTTAGCTCAGCAAGATAAACAGTTCCAATGTCCCCAGAACCAATCCTCCTAAGCAACTTAAAGTGCCTCAGACCTAAGGTTCCATGCTGCTTCTGAACATGATGGATGGCTTCCCATCTCAAGTCTCTTGACATGTGAGGCCTCTTGCCGCTACGACCAGACCCACTTAGACTGCTTTCCTCACTAGTGCTTGTAGTGCTGCTATAGTCACCAATGCTACTTTTTGAGCTTTGTGAGAAATCCCCCTTTTCTCTTGATCTTGACCTCTCATCGACTTTCGTCACTATAGATTTAGTTCTATTACTGCAATTTGAAGGGAAATCTGGTTTGCTTGTACCTCTATTAACAAGAACTGAATTCATTTCTTTGCTAAGACTTGTACTGCTGGACACCAGAGATTCTTTCTCATTTCCTTCCCTTTCATGCTTTGGGGTACAGTTGTGTGTCTGGTCCTTTAACTTACTAGTACTAGGGCCTAAATCATTATCAACTTTCCGATTATCTGATGCAGAACTACTGGAGCCAGAACTTGAATCCTGCTTGACGTTTTTCTTAACAAAGCTTTTGCTCCCGAGGACTGGCTTGATTAAATGTGAACTACCGCCAGAGGATTTGCTTACCTTACTGCCAGTGCTAGAGCAGGATGGAGAAGCAGCAGAGTGCAGCCCCTTGTCTGAATTTGAAGTATTAAGTGGAACCTCAGTTGAGGTAGAAGCAACCGCACCCATCCGCATAACTTTCTTGCTATCATGAAAGTTAGATGAAGAATCTGTGGATTCCAGTTTTCTATCTTCTCCCTTCAATTTCTCACTTTTAACTTCTGTTGAAAAAGGAGAAATTTGATCTTGTGGTGCTAATCTGGTCAAGCTAGCATCTGGCATCAGTGCATCAGCCAAAGTTGTGGCAGGATGAACCTGTGGCTCTGATTGCATGGATCCAGGATTCTTCTCATAATTTTTGGATGCTTCTGGTACAAGGGAGACCTCTACATAATTCCCTTTAACTTGATTCATAGGAAGGCCAGACCCATTGGCCTCGTCTACCACTGCCCTGTACAACCTTTTGATAGTTCCTGCTTCTGACACCCCAGATGAACGACCTGGCCTCGATAGTCGCTTCATGGCAGCCATCTCTGATGCCTGAGAGATGCATAATCCTCTCAATGCTTGCTTCAAACTCACAGGCTCTGAAATTCCAATACCCGATGCATTTGATGAACTAACTCTCATTGGCCTTTTCATAGCACTCTTCCGCAAAGCGTCTTTGCTAGCCTCATTTGACAGACCTGAGATCCTAGCTGAATTTCTACTGTCAATTGCCTGAAAAAGCTGATTAATATCATCCTCTATGGAATATTTATTTCCTGATTTTAGCATGCAATGCTTTCCACCTTTCTTGTCCGTTTTTGACTGAGAATCTACTTCGTCTCTTGATTCCACAATTTCACATGTAGGGCGCATTGTACTCATATTTGATGGATCAAATGAAATACTGCAGAAGATTGTAATAGCCCTGCAAATTCATACTAACCCAATTCTGACAAAGCAATGTGAAGATATCGGAACACAGAAATAGGAAACAGAGGCACATATCCTCTGAGATTCGCTAGAGCCATAAGGATGTGCAGAATTATATGGCCCACTAATAACCCTTTACTAAGTCCAAAAGGAAGCATCCAAGGCCTGCCATGATTGCTGCATTTCAGTTTACATCAAAGTTGTCAAATTACATTTTCTAAATGTAGCAGATATTTCTATGCTTTATCTCCACAATACCACAATTAGCATAAATATACCACACAAGCAATTTATATAGGATCAAATGTACAATCAGAAGGTAAAGTGAAATTTTCACTGATCTCACTCCAACCCCAATTAATGAGAGGTACAAAACCCTCTGTTTAGTTTTATTATTTCAAAATGTCACGAAATCCCCCGCCCTTGGGGGGTGTCCTCAACGAGGAGGAACATGTACTAGGCTACAGGTGAATGTGTTCAAGATTCCTTCAATTTTAAGGGAAGATCCAAAAGAATAAAACCAAAAAAAAAATCCAATTTGATCTTCATACACAAGAAGTATGACATCTGACAAAATCAAAGATTGGAATTCCCAAGAGTTTTGACGATAACAACATTGAATTTCACCAGTGCCCAACATTAATTGGCCGGTTACGGCTTAACAGAAAGAAACAAAAGTCACAAAGTGCAATTCCCATACTTTGGAAACTACGAAGAATGACAAAGTCACTTAATGATAATACCTTCAGAACATAAAGCAAACAACAATCTTCCACACACACAAACACAAACCTTAAAATCAATCAACCATAATATACAAGCAGAAACAGACCTAGACTAAGATAGCCATGTCCTGTCTCTACGTTTGAACATGAAGCACGATTGGTGTGAATTAAAGGCCTTTTTTTCACTCAGATCTTTCGAAAAATAAAATTTATAAATTAAAAATTAAAAAAAACCCATCATTTCAAATAATTGAAAAAAACACACGCAACTATCAAAATTATTGGGAATCATACTTCACTGTCAGTAAATCAAAATCATACAAAAAAGTTATATTAAAAAACAAGTATAAAATAAAAATAAAAATAAACCATACCTTGAACATGAGCTCCTATGAGGAAGCAGAAAGAGGGAGATGATTGTGTACTGCTGTTGATGAAGGTGAGTGATTTAGGGTTTGGAACTTGAGACCATTTTCATTGTTGTTTTTTTTTATATTTGATTTTATGGTGTGAGTTAATGAAATTAAGGGGTGGGTGGGGGGGAGGGTTAGGGGGGCAGTGAATGAGAGAGAGAGAGAGAGAGAGAGAGAGAGAGCGGAGGAGAAAGAAAGAAATGGAACTCACGAGAAGTGTCCTGGGGTGAGGGTGAGAGGTTGAGAGAGAAAGCAGAAGAGAGACAGCTTACTGTTTGTTTAAGCTCAATTTTCAAATGGCGGAAAAACACTGTTTATATATATCTTTCCACACCGTACGCATGATGACTTGACAGGGATACAGTAAACAAGGAACACATAGATTCGCTACTAGTAGTGTGGGACACAGGACTCCTCTGTGGAACCCCCCCCCGGGAGTTCAGCTACACTTGAGCTACCTTTTTTTTTTAACTCGGCAACTGTTGTTCATGAGATTTAGGCCCGTTTTTTTAAAAGTGGTTAAAAGAATTTAAAATTTTGGTGGTATTGAATAATAAAAAGTCTTTAACTTTTAAAAAACTTATTAAATAAATGACTTTTGCATAATTCTAAGGCTGATTGTTAATAGCAAAAGTCTTGTCAATTTACTAGTGACTTTTATCAACTTTATGAAAGTATTTAAGAATTTGTTAACTCTGTGAAAATTTTGATTTAGGCTTATGGTTTAATTTCGGGTTTTGTTTGTTTTGGGTTGTGTGAGTTTGGATACGAGCTATGCTAAATTTTGGTGATTTTTGTTTTTTTCATTGCTTACTCGGATTTTGTTCGATTTAGTTTTCTCTTTCAGGTTGTTTTCCTTTTTGGTTTATTGCTTTTGCAGTCATGTTGAGATTCGTGTCTTGTACACATCTTTGATGTATTGCTGAAGTTTTTTTTAAATGAATATCATTGTTTGATAATTAAAAAAAATCTCTCTTTAAATATCATGTGTTTAAAATAATATGTAATATTTGAATCACAAACTTATTGAGGGAAAAATTAATTATCTCAAAACTTGATATCATGAAAAGTTTATGGATACACTGAGTTATGTACCGTAACTTTTATGTAAGGCTTTTCAAGCCTTTATTTATAGAGTTATAGATTCCAAAAATATGGAGTACGCATGAAACAATTCAATCTAATTTATACAAATCGATTGAATATAGATTCTTAACAATTTTTAAATTCCACCATTTGGAAGTACGCCCCAAGCTTGATGGGTAGCCCGAGCTCGGCCTTATTTTTGGGCTATGGGTTGGCCCGACCCGATACTATAAGCCAATTTATCGGATCCTAGCCCCTCGTCTAGGCCATGATTTGTAAGTTCATGAGCAGCATAGCCCAACCCGATAATTAAATTAATAAATAATATACTTATAGAATAAACTCATATTAATTACCCTTTCATTCAATTAGTTATGGATGAACTACACACCCATTTCCATTTGTATTCTAAAGTTCTCTAGTTCCTCTTTTGGGAGATGCAGTTTCTTGTCATACTCTATCCCTAATGTAGATGGTTCTAAGGATTCTAAATTGTATTTGTGATGCCCACGGATGCACTTAAACATACTAGTCTTGTCCTCCACTTCTATAATAGCACCAAATAGCAACCAAAACACAACTCATTCTCTTTAATTTGGTTATGCATCGTTGTCTACGTACTTTTACTTCCTGAAAATTCTTGTACATTCATGTCTACGTACTTTCCCGTATTATACTAAGAGAAGTATTAAATTCTTTAAATTTATCTACATAACTAGGTTTAAAGCAACTACACCAGATGTTGTAGTTGTCAAACAAAGTAGGGATTCAGTTATATGCTCATATTTTTATTCTTCTCCAATATTGAGTTATTTATGTAAGAAAGTATAATCCTAAATAAAATAGGAAATAAATATAAAGTACAATAGAAAATAAATCTAAATTACAATAGGAAACAAATCTCAATTATAATAAGACAAGACAAATATGTAAGTAACCTAAACCCTAACATAGTAAGGAACCAAAACCCTAACTAAGTAAGAACTTGCTAACAGTAGTTCCACATACCAAGGTTCGATAACCTTGCAACGAGTTTTACGCCTTCCGACATTTTTTAAGGCTCTCTATTTCATTGTTTGGAAAACCTAATGCCAAATTTTGTTCTCCTATCTCTTGCATGCTCAATGGTTCTATAAAATTTAACATGAACTAGGGTTTTTCGACATGGTGTTTGAACTGCATAACAAGCGTGCCCATGGCTAAACTCACAACATCATACCACCTCGGCTCATGGCATTGGCGCGCCCATGAGCCCAAAAATTCACGGGCTTTGGGTAGGGCCTAGACCTAGCCTATTTAAGATAAGGTGGGCCTAGCCCAGCCTGTCCAACATTTAGGGCCGAAAAACCCCGTAATTCATTATGATTGCATTTAATTCATTATAATTGGCTCGTTTCATAGGACCATATAAGCTCGGCCTATTTGCCCACTTATGAGCCTAAAAATTCTTGGCCCTTGGGTAAGGTCTAGGCTCCTGTTTAAGATAGAGCAGGGCAACCGACATGTTCAAACTTTAGGGTCGAAAAAGCCCGTAATTGAGTAGGATCTAGGCTAACCTCTCTTAGAGTCAGATTGGCCCGAGCCCTGGTCCATTTTATAAGCCTATTTTGAAGTTACAAAACCAATTAAATTGAATAGATGTCTATTTTAGGATTGTAAAAATGAAAATTTCTTCTAGTCGGTCCGACTATTATAGCTTTCACATGAGTGTGGTAACACTTGATTATTACCCATGCCCTACACACTACACACCAAAGTTACAACCATGCATGCCCTATAGTTATTTCAAATATATACAATATATTATTTTTTGATTTTTTATTTATAGAAAATTTAAACTTTAATGTCAAATTCAAATTCATCCTTACAAATTTCAAAATTCAAGCGTATCGAGTTTAGAAGATGTCCCTCTTAATTCGACTAATAAAAAGAAAAACACTTTCTCCTCTTTCAAAAATATATGTGTGTTGTCAAATCTCATTCAATTTCATCTTTTCTATATTGTCATCATCCATCTTTATTTACTCGCCCACCTATTTTTTTATCTCATAAAAAAGAACAGTAATTTACTTTTCTTCTCCTCCTCCATTCTTCATACCCTTGAATCCAAAAAAAACCAAAGAAAGATTTTGTAGACTTTGACTCTTTTTTTATCGATTTTTTCAATGAGAAGTACGTCTTGTTCATTAACATCTCGGAAATATTCCGCTCCCTGATGATGAATTATTAAATAAACCAAGATTTTACCACTTACATTTCTTTCTGGTTTCTTTTTATGAATCCGTCAGCTAAAATATTTCCGAAAAGTGGAAAACTATTGAAACACCTATCTAATATGTTCTTTCCGGTAGTTTTTATTTTTATTTTTATTTTTATATGAAAATGAAATGAAACTAAATAATTTAAAGGTGGATGGGTAAATGGGAAGAGGGGAACAACAACACTACTCTTAATAGTTATAATAAAAATAAAAAATAAAAAAAATTAAAGAACCAGCACTACTCTTAAAATTAATTAAGAAAAAAAAAAGGAAAAAGTTTAGAAGTTTTTAAAGATTAATTAAGAAAGGGGATTTGAGATTTGAGTGGGTGAGTTCTTAATTAGTGGCCGATACTATTAGGCATTTTCAAAAAGAGTAGAGGGCATGTGAAGCAAAACGGTAAAAGCATGAGAGACAGAAGCCCCAATCCAAATGCATCCTGTCATTCTAGTAAAAGAAAGAAGACCTAGATCGATTAACTTAATCCTAATGATAATGGCAACATTGTGGCCAAACAAAGAAGACCCCAATTAACTTTATGGGCTGAAAAGAAACAAGGTAAGTTCATCTTTGCTTTCTTTTTCTCAGTTGGTGGAAGCTTTATTGTTTTTAACCATCATTATGCATGATTTTACCCCCTCTTTGACGGATAAAGTGGGATTAATTATGGGGTTTGAAATTTTGAATGCTGCTAATTCTATAAAGGTTTATTGATCATGTCTGCCCTGTCATGATTATTAGAAGAGGGAAAAAGATGCATGGCTAACAACTAACAAAGCTAAGATCCATGAGGCAATCCTATAGTAAAAAATTTCTCTACGACTACAATGAAAAGTCACATGTGAAACGGTCGTCGCTTGAATAACGAAAAAGAACCTTTTTGACATGATTTTATTACTTAAATTGCGTTCGTCCTTAAAATCTTACAGTGTGTTTGGATGAGGGAAATAAACTTGGGATTTTGACAAAAGTTAGAATTTCTAAATTGATATAAACCAATCTCCGTGTTTGGATAAAAACACAAAGAAATTTAGAAATTCCCCGTGGGAAAAAAACATGGGATTTGGAGGTCATAAATCCCAACTTTAAATTTTATCTAAATAGTCGTCATTTCTAACATTCCAATATGATAAACGTTAAATTTCATGTTTAAATCCGTTAGCCAAACGGTAGGCTAAGGCTAAGGCTTGAGCAACCCAATCGGTATCTAAGGTCCAAAGGGTGATGAGAACCTGCATCAATCAGAGCCGAACACTATTCAATTGGAGATTGATACAGATATGGGGTTAGCAGGGTTACCCCGTCAATTTCATCGAGACTAATGGATTGGAATGTGTGGGGGCTTGGGAACCCCTACATATTCCATGCTCTAAGACAATTCCTTAGAGCTTAAGACCCTGTTTTTGTTGAAAAACTCTAGCTAACCTCTTGATGATCATTTTGCCTGAGATGATTTCTAGTGATCAAAACGCCTTTGTTCCTGTCCGGTCCATTCTTGATAATCTCTTGCTTTTGAGCCCATACTTTCTGTCGACAAACAATGGCCAAAAAAAGAGCCAAAGGTTGTTGTGATGCTTTATGTCAGTACGGCATATGGTCAAGTTGAATTTTCTTATTGTTTTTGTTCCTAGTTTATGTCTTATTGTAGCCATGCTAAGTTTGCTCTAGGTAGTGTGTCTTCAAATGCTTGGCTTGAAGAGGGTCCTAAGGCCAATGTGTCTTTGCTAGTTGACGTTGTTATTTTGGTTTTGTTTTGAGTTTTGTTTGTAGCCTTCATGGAGTGTGTGACACTC